AAATAAATAATTTATTTTTTTAAATATGCGAGATTCTAAAATTTAACTCTTAAATTCAATTTCACAATTAACATGATTTTATAAATTAATTTTACAACTTAAATCAATTTAATCAAATTAAATGAATATTAGCGCATGACCCTTATTTTATTTTATTTTTCAAAACTCTTTTAAATAAATAAAATAATGCGCGTGTATGCATGATATGTTATAAACATATGAGTAGGCACACTAGATCTATATGACATAATATATGTATGGACATATAATATACAATCATTAAATAAATATAAGTATAAAATATGCAATTGGCTATTGAGATTAATTTAATAGTGTTCCATGGAAAAATAAAATACAACCACATCGAACGAATAATTATTACAACCAAATCGAATAAATAAATAATTATAATAATTATTTTTCTTATGTTAAATCAACAGGTCTTTGATTTTAATTCTTCATTCTTCGGGTCTTCAATTCGTCATCTTCGGGTCGGGTATCTTCCTTCGGGTCCGGAACTCTTTTGGATTTTTCTGAACCTATCGACGGGTTTCTTAAACCCTAATGGGCCCATACGGCCTTTCCTGGCTGGCTGATGGGGCGGCCTAGTCTCTTCTACTACGTGTAAGATAACGTTCGGGTGCGCGCCAGTAAGCCCAGAGGTGCTCACTAAACAACGCGTGAGGGGCACAGGCTGTTTGTTTCACTGGGTTAAACAGACTAACTGCCGGCCACCAGGGGCGCATACGGGCGTGGCTGCAGGAGGAACTTTGGCTAGGGTTTCGGGACTTCGCAGTTTTGTGTTTCTCTTCTCGATTCTATTCTAGTAGACTCGTCCTGCTTGCTAATGTACGAGCCCTAAACTACCCGAATCCTAGAATTACAATAATTCTAATTCCTGAATAAAATTACAAATAATTTAATGTACAAATATAACCAATCTATGAAACCATATAATTAATGTCTAAATCCACCATCCTTACATTCATCAAGATGAATAAATATTAACATCCATAATTAAATGCAAGTGCATACCCATCACATACATACATAATTAAATATCACATATTTAATAGAATATTGATTATCACGTAATCGAAGCATAGACCTCTCTGATACCAATTGTTAGTTTTTGAAAACGATTTTCTATGCGGAAGCGTGTATCTAGCGAATCGTGTATAACAAAAAAATTTAATAAACCTTTGAGATGCTCTATATAATACATTAATTTTTGCACGAATAATTTAAATAATTTAATAAATTAATTTAAGAATAAATTTACCTAGCGAACGATTAGGTCAATAACTTGAATTCTTTGACCACGAACGTTCCTTGTTCGAAGCTTGTTTAGAATACATGAATCTTCCTCGTCAATTTCTTGAATCTACAAAGACGTGTGTGTGGGGCACACCTGAAACAAAATCAGATTAGCACTCAAGTCTTCCACGAAAACTAACACATGCATGACATGGAATTGGGAATATGGAAGAACTTTTCTTCTCTATTTTGTTTCTCTCAGGTTACACGCTCACCTCTAGTAGGTTACACGCTAACAAACTGCGTGTTACATGCCTACGCTAGGGATGTTACACGCCACCTATCGGGGAGGGAGTAAGAAAGTTACACGACTGCACTAGCATGTTACACACTGTCTGACAGAATGTTATACGCCCGTAAATAGTATGTTACACGCCTATCACATAGGGGAAGGGAGAAAAAATTGTGTTCTTCAATTTTCTGCAACCTTCTATTTATAGAGTAGCTGTCATACTCCTAGAAGAAGTCTAAACTTTATCTTCAAGATAAAACTTGATAATTATTTCTCACTTCTATTTTATTTTAGAAACAACATCCCCTCTCTCTCTTATCCACAGGGGCTGGTCACCACAGAGATATTCCCCCCTGTGGTTGGCGCAAATTACAAATAAGGAAGGAGAAAAAGTTATCCTTTATCATGCAGTCTAATTTTGACTCAAAGTCAAATTTCAATTAAAGTTAAAACTTAATTTAATTTGAATTCTAATTGGATAACTTATCAAATAAGTCAATCGGATAACTTAAAGAGTAAACAACTGAATCCCAGAGGGATTCTCACAACGCTGGGTGTGTACACCATGTGGACTCCTCGACACGTGTGTTCTAAAAATTAAAATTTAAATAATCACATTATTTAATTTATAATTAATTGTCAACTAATTATTCTTGAGCGTTCTATTTAGAATTCTATAATTCTAAAATTTTCATTTTGACCTTAGTGTCTTGTGGGATTACAAGGACGATGTGGAGACTCATGGACCTATAATTTTGAGCTCTAATAAAATTTATAATTAATTAAAACTCTTTAATTAATAATTAATTCTTATTAATTCCAAAGTTATATTAAATGAAAATTCATGTTGAGCTAGCTTACTGTACTGATTTAATTTTTTTTTTTATTTTTTAATGTGAATGTTGTTCACTACGAGACCACAAAAAGCAACAATAATACTACAAAGCTTTGCAGGGATGTTGCCATTGGCGATGCCATTAGATTCAGAAATCACCACTACTGACTTTTTTTTTAGTCTCATTTAAAAGCTCAACTAAGGTCTTAATCATGTTGATAAATTCCTTAAAAAAATGAAAATTTATGTTGAGTCTGGCTTACTGTACTCATTTAAATTTTTTTTTTCCTTTTTAATGTGAATAATTTCATCTAATTTGTGTATCCTTAAGTATTTTAAAGTTTTGGACCTTTTGTTTATTTTATAAGTTTAAACTAAAAAGTTTTCGTTCAAATCTTAGCACTGTTGTGCTCCAAACTTTTTTACTAACCGCCCCAACTAGCAATTGCAATATTCCCCGTATTGTTAACTTCCTACTAAATTGAGGATTTGAGTTCGGAAAATTCGCATTGGGTTTGTGTTAGATTTGAATTTTTTGTTCGTACATGAGATTTTCCATCCTCGCATTACCCACACATGGGCATTTTGTCATCCCTTTTTTTGAAATATGAAATGTTATACCTGCCATTTTTAGTAATTTCTGATCTAATATATTTGAATTTACTCTTTATTAAATATTTTAAAAAATCTTATCTCTGTAACTAAACATCATTTTTGCCTTAGAAAATCTTAAAAGAGTAAATTTAGGTTGACCAAATTAAAAATTATTAAAAAGAGTAAATTTGATATTTTATGTCTCAAAATATGGGCTTAGAGAATTAAAATCCGATATTTTAAAAAGGAAAATAGTAGAAAATAGGCCAATATGAAAAGCTTAAGAAAGTATATAGGTCAATTTTTAGTTATAGAAATTAATATGCCATAGCTTGTCAAGTTATGGTTCATAACCAGATAAGTTATGGATAAACTTGTCAAGTTATGGTTCATAGCCAGACAAGTTATAGACAATTATGGACAATAACTTGTCAAGTTATGGTTCATAACCAGACAAATTATGGACGAAAACTGTAATTTGGCCTATTTATTAACTTATGTACACTATTGGCTTATTAATTTTAATTTATCTCAAGTCTTGACTTATTTCCTTCTTTCTCCCTTTTAAAAAGTAGAATACCAATTTAAAATTATGAAAAACATGAGGAATTAAAAGACATTTTCGCTAAAATTTAGGGTATCAAATTGAAATTATCCTTAGCATTATATTTGACTAGAAATAGTGTTTTGTGATATTGCCAATTTTGTTGTTAAAATTATGCTTTTTGTTGAGTATTACAGTCGACAATAATCTGTATTAAGGTCGGATTGGGATTTTCAATGTTATGCTGCATACTACTTTAGAGTTTAATAATTGGATACCATTAATAATCGGTTGTTATTGGTCGGTGACTGTTAGTTGTCATAATTTTGACGTCATGTTAAAGGATTAAGTTTATATATCTCTTTTTATATCCCTTCTATAAAATTACGTCATATCAATTAAAACTTATAATAAATTTTTAGTTAAGGTAGTATATAGTCTAATTGTAATAAATTTTTGGTTAGCATGGTTTAAAATTTTAAGTCTCGTTCGTTTTATAGATTTGAGTTTTTAATTTAAGATGAGATGTGATATTATCTGAGATCTTTTAATTATAGTAAAAAAAGTTAGAGATAATATTTTCTGAAAACTTTTAACTGTAAAAATTTAAAATTTAAAATTTAAATCTATAAAATAAATAAGATTTTAATTATCGTGCATTTTAAGATACTGCTGTTGGCTACCGTTACTAAATTGGTATACAAGGAGTTGGATTATATTTCATAATTCGTGGGTGTTGTATTTTCAACATTAAAAAAAAGAAAAAAATCTCCCTAAAAAAACATCAAGTCAATACTTTTAGGTGTAAAGTCCCCTAATGCATCGCGTAATGACAAAACACAACCTCAATAATCATCGGACGGTCCAATAAGCATTTTCATGTGGACCCTTAACTGGTGGGCCCAATGTTGATGGAATTTCGTTTTAAAATTCCTTATTAAACGTTAAATAGGTACTAATGAATAAAAAGAGTACAACGAAACTTTTTCTTTTTGTTTTTGTTTTTTGCAATCTAAATTATTGTCCACCATTTGCTTATTATTTTCTTAATCTGAAGATGGATTAATTTGACCTCTATATTGTATGGAGGAATCGTGTTTTGAATTACAAATTATACATGAAACCATATTTTTGCTTACTATTTTTTTTAAATGAAATATTTACTAGCATATTATCAAGTTATTTTATTAGATGAAAATTTACCTATCAAGTTATTTTATTACATGAATATTTACCTTTTCCTAAAGACAAAGTTGTTTTTTACTACAATAAAAAATTAAATACAAAATAAAATGAAATTTTATAATTTGCACATGATACATATTTACAAAACAAAGAAATTTTGTTCATATATGATAAGAAAAGATGATTTAGCCATTAGGCAAAGATCACAAATTCCTTGCTTGGAAAAGATGATTTAATCAAATAAATCTGTAGATGATTCCTTTCTTTTAATAGTAGGCATTTTCTCACGCACACATGATGATTATCCTGCCTTTCCTTTTAGCCGTCTGATGAAAACGATTGGCTCTATCATCTCTCTCTTCTGATCTTCTCTCTCTCCTTTCTCTTTCTATCTGCAGCAGTTTCTCCGCGTGAATCTTTGAGCTTGATATTCTCACAGACTTCGTTGGAGTTTGGGGAAGAGAAAAAGCTGATCAGCCATTGAGATTACTACGAAGACAGCTTTATTTACTCCGCTGTGTGATCTCTCTGTGACTATTTAGCTTGCCATTTTCGGAGAAAAATGTCGCACCGACACTCGAGGCTTCGTCTCCAAGGTCGTTGCGGTTTCCGTTAATGGCGTCTCCCGCGTCCAACTCTCGACATTACCGGATTTGAACTACTCTGGTACGTCCTGCCTCCGCGCGTCCAAGTTGCGATAAGATTTTCTGTTTGGCTCGCGAGAAACTTCGCTCACCGTGAAAATTGTAATTGCGTTCAGGTTTCAGAATTTTTTTTTCCGTTTAATTTGTTGTCTCTTTAGTCCTTGCCTCTTTAAATTTCTGAAGTGTGTATAAATCTCATATTTATGATTCTTTAGATATGGAATTCGCTGTTTAGAATCTAGGAAAGTCGGAAAAGAAAAAGGAAATGCTTACTTTTAAGCCTTTTTTATTTGTCAGGGCCAAACACGGCCCTAAAGTTACGGAATTTCGAAAGAAGAGTCCGCTCTGGTTTTTGAATAGCTGGCAGTAAATTTGTTTCTTCTTCTTCTTCGGTAATTTGTGGCAATAGGATCGGAGGATAACCGTAAGGACCAAGGATGATGGGTCGTTTTACCTTATCTTGAAATTTTGAAAATGGGAAATTAAGGACCACTGAACTCTTGCTTTTTTGTATTGCTTCCTTGGTAGGTCGCCTTTTGTCCGTATACACCCCAATTGTCTTCTATCAAGGTTTTTTGTTTTTTTTTTTTGTTAATTTAGGCTTGCTCGGTGTAGTCGTTTACTGATGTAGATAATAATTGTCGAACTATGTGGACGATAAATTTCACCATATTATTTGGTTGGAACTTGGGATGAAGGTGAAAGTTTGATGTTGGTGAAAGTCTCATCACTGAATTTGTCAACTAGTCTTGCTTTAAAGTTCAAACCCTGAACGTTGACCTTTTCTAATGTATTTTTCCTTCTCCGAGGAACGGGGCTTTTGGGTAGAGTTATCGTTTGCTCCTCGGTTGGAGGGCAAAGAGAACTATTTTAAGATCAGAATTTTAGCCTTGAGATTGACATGTAATTGATTTAAGGAAGCGGTATGACAGGTACCTAGGAATTGTACTAGCTCAACAATGTTTAGAAGTCACCTTGAGCTTATGAAAGAAAGATATTCTGTTTAATATAGTAAATTCTACAAATAAAGATGACTCAAGCTGTAGTCCGTATGATCACATTGTTGCTTTGGTTGCTTCACTTGTATTGACAAAATGAGATTCAGTTTTTCATTTACTAATATTACCTGGCCCCCTTACGTGCTTTTTTTTTTTTTTTTTTTTTTTTTTTTTTTTTTTTTTTTTTTCAGTATTTCAGTATATGCGTTCTTAATGAAATGTAGAGTTTCATTTCTTTTGCCACCCTTTTTTTATAATTTCAATTCTTTGTAGATATTTTATCGACTTTTATTTTTTCTTCAGTGCCAGCATTTTTATGTGAATAATTTTCATGTGCAGCTAAGAAGTAATAGTTCAAACTTGTCAAGCAAACGGGAGAAACCAGTTGAGTGCAGATACATCCTATTGAATCCATGGATTGCGTTTCAAAAACCAAAGGGAATTCAGGAGATCAACAATCTTTGAGAACTTCAAGGAACATTTTACCTCGGGCAAGCCAAAGTATGAAGCTACAAGACAAGTTAAAACCAGAAAAGCCTCGTCTCTCATATGCTGATTTCCATCCTGAAATTACAAAGAATGTAAAATACGTTCCACATAAATTCTCTGGGGCTCCTCAAAAGCAGCAGATTGGTGGCAAAGAAGTTGAGGAGGATGAGCTTGTTAAGTACATGTCAAAATTGCCAACTTATCTGCAAAAAGGAGAAACAGTACAGGAGAAAGCCTTAAATGTTGGGGTCCTTGATTGGGGGCTTCTGGAAAAATGGCAATACAGCCATAAACAGATGCCATATAGATGTAGCAGGTATTCTGCTTCCAGTAGCAACACATCCTCGTCTTTTTCTACGGATGGGTCTTCTTCCCATTCTAATAGAGGCCATAGCTGTTCTCCTGCTCGCCGAAGTACAGGCCGTCCATCCTTACAATTTCATATGATGGCATCTTCCACGGAAGGCTCGTCTCAAGTTAAATCCATTGCATCAAGTGTTGAAAAGTTTAAGCCCACTGAGACTCCACATTGTGGTACCTTGAATAGGTCGGAAAAATTCATCAGCACAGCTCCAGCTCTCTTCAAGAAGCATCAAGATGTCCAGCAGAAAGAACGCAAGAAGGATCAATCAGACCAAAATTGGCAGAAGGATCCCGGAAGTGGACCTTTGCAAAATGACGCCAGCCGTGCATCACGATCAACGGTAAAGGGGAAGACTCAATATGGTGAATGTACAAATAGAGAGGAGAAGACTAAGAAATCACATTTACAAAATTTTGAACATAATTCCTCTAAAGGAAGCAAAACCATTGTTCTGCTTTTGCCTATGGGTCTCCAAGAAAACAATCATCCTGGTCATCCTCAAGATTCTAATTCGACAATAATTTCTGGCCGAAGATCAGAACGCTGCCAAAGAAGCCTTCCGGAGGGCTATAAGACAGCATGGCAAGATGAGCTCAATTCCGATATTCCACATTCATGCCCACTTCCTTCCGGAGTTGGCAATAAAGAGTCTCAGGTAGAACAACACAACTCTATAAATTCAGCTGCAGTGAGAACCAACTGTTCATTTGGTTCATCTTACTCAGTATCGGAAACACCTAGAGTGGGTTATAATCCATGCAGTCACAGAAATTTGGAAGCAAAAAGTTCAACCGTGATACCTGCATGTTCGCCAGAGCGTCCCAAAGCATCAGATCAAAAGTCAAAAAAAGTAACAGCTGAAAAAGTAAGAAGTACTTCACCATTTTACCGGTTTGCCAATGTTACAGGTAAGTTGAGTAGAGGTTCTAGTTCAAAGGACAGTTTAAACTTATGTAACCAGAGTTCAACGGATGTTTCTGCTAAATCTGCTATGGGAAAAGCTATGCCTTCTGCTGGTGATGCTTCAAGCAGTGATAAACTCGATGCAACTGGCAGGGCCAGATCGAGTCCTCTGAGACGGTTGCTTGACCCTCTACTGAAGCCAAAGGCAGAAAACTGCCATCACCCTGTGGAGCCAGGAGCGAAGGTCTCGGTATCTACGGATAGGACTTGCAAATCAGTTGATGGGCAGTATGTTTCATTGGCTATGCGGTCGGGGAAAGTAAAGTTGGGCATGACCGGTTGCAAGAAGATTGATGTCAATGAATTAGCTAAGGACAAGAAACCTGGACCAGCAACAGTTCAAGCTCTTTTGCAAGTTGCGGTTAAGAATGGTTTGCCTCTTTTCACATTTGCAGTTAACAATGAAAGTAACATCCTTGCAGCCACAGTGAAGATGTTAAATACCACCAAAAAGGATGGGCACATCTGCATTTACACATTCTTCACCATTCAAAATATGAAGAAAAAGAATGGAAGTTGGATCAACCAAGGCGGCAGAGGCAATAGTCATGATTACATCTCTAATGTTGTTGCTCAAATGAAGGTTTCTGATTCTGGGTTTTCCAATTTGTGTACACAAAATAAGATTGGTGTGAGAGAGTTTGTGTTGTTTTCCGTGGACCTGAAACAGACAGATAACCAAAGCTCAGAGTTCCAGCCAAATAATGAGCTTGCAGCTATTGTTGTCAAATTTCCGAAAAAGTTCAATCCAAGCTCCATGAAGGATGGGCCGCCTGCAAATGCATATGGAGTTAATTCAAAAGACTCTTTGTCCGGACTTGATTGTCATTCTAACTCTGTGAAGGATGTTCAGTTTCAACCTTTCTTCAGCGGTGAAGACTTCATCAGTACGACGGTCATACTTCCAAGTGCTGTTCATAGTCTACCTAGTAAAGGAGGACCCTCATCGTTGATTGGACGTTGGAGTTCGGGTGGATCGTGTGACTGTGGTGGTTGGGATCCGGGTTGCAAAGTTTGGATTCTTTCAAACCAGAATCAAGTCCACAAGAACTTAAGCTCATCCAAGGGTTGTCCCATCACAGATAGATTAGAGCTTTTCACTCGGGTACTAGTTTGTAACATAAATTATTGATAATGGTGCATCCTATTCTATTAAAAGCTGCCTAACACAATTTAAAGAGGAAAAAAAATGCTTTCTGATGTTGCTTTTGGCTTTCACAATCTGTCTGCAGGGAGGAATGCAAGAAAATCAGCAGGTTTTCAGCTTGTCTCCATTCAAGGAAGGGATCTATTCAGTTGAGTTCAATTCCTCTCTCTCAATTTTACAAGCATTCTCCATTTGTACAGCAGTGTTAGATAGTAGGAAACGATGTGAGGTTTCAGAATCAAGAAACCCATTTGAAGAAAAAACATTTGGGGAACAACCAATGTTAGTGCAAAATGCTGGAACAAGTGGTCCTAGTCGAATTGAAGGAGAGGTTCCTAGATATATGTCATATCCGCCACTGTCACCGGTCGGTCGGGTCTAGATGTGCATGAGAAAGATATAACTAGCGCTTTTGGTCCGCTAAGCATTGTGCATAATCCTTAGTCACCATTTCTAGTCTTGCTACTCAATATCTGTAATGCAGCCAGATGGAAGTTGACCTTTTTATTTACATATTATAGTATGCCCTCATAATGATCTGTTAGTTACTTGGAACAAAGTCCAAGTATTGCTTCTGGACGAAATAGGCAAATATGAAAATCTATCAATTGTATCATTGGAGAAGCTCCTTTGATCAATTTAAGTGCACATATTGAGTGAATTCTAACTTTCTGTCTGGTCATTGAAGCTTGATGGTCTCAGTATCTATAACAAGATTATTGTCACAAAATAAAGTTTGCATGCGAAATTTAACCTCTTCTCACAAAACCAAGTGGTTGATTGAGTCATTTATCTGCTCGGAAAGCACATAAGAGATTGGTTCATCTAATTGCATTTGTTGAAGAATACCCAAAAAAATTAAAAAAAAATAAAAGAAAAAAAGGAGAAGAAGAAATGCAGATATTTTTAATTTATTATTTGTGACTATAGAATAGAATAAAGATTACCATACTAGCTAAACTAAAGCATAATTAATTGGAAATTAGAGTTTCTAACTTGACCAGGCTAATAACAAGCAACCTGACATTCGTGGCTGCACCGGTAAGAAAGGCTAGTTTGCTTCTACACGAATGCACTACAATCTTAGGAGGAACGCCAAAAAAGAAGTAAAACTGAGGCCGTCAGATAAGAGTTTGTTGAGTTCTTTATTTTTGCTAGAAAGTTTGTTGGGTTATTTTTTATCTTATCATTCCCTTAATCACATAAAAGCGTCCATCATCACATAATAGAGTAGACGACCTTCCACAGAAGATTAGGCGCGCAATTTGCCTATTGGTCGAGTCTAAATTTGCAATAAATTGTAACCTTATCACATGACAATAATAATATTTCGTGGCATGATCTGAATATTTGAGAGCGCCATTTCATGTTGCCTATGCCTTAAAAAAAAGACCAAAAAAAAAAAAATCCTTTTAAGCAAAAAATAGTTCATCCCTATTTCCTTAATGCCAAAATCTTTACTTGGGACACGATATAAGGAGATTTTTTTTTTAATTTCTCTAGTAATATTATTGTTTAAATGTTAGATGTGACTGACAATTTCTCTCCTTTTCTCGAAACCTTTCGGTTGCCAATTTGTTTGTTTGTGTGTGTGTGTGTGTGTTTTTTTTTTTTTTGAGAATTGGTTGCCAATTTGTTAAACAAACAAATAATAATAATAATCAAAAGTTTCCACTTTTTTAGGTGTTTGAAATGGACCTCAGAGTGTAGGCCCAATTCAACCAGGATCCCGTGGCGGGACATCAGGAAAGCCCACTGAGTGTAATCTAATAACCGCAATATCGTGATTATTGACGGGAAGAAGAAATCACGTGCAACCATTCCCACATCAATGACTTTTTCTGTCTAATTTAACGGCTATAATGCATTTTTCTTATCGTAAACAATAAAATTCTATCATCCTACGGTCAATATCTACCTACTTAAAGCACACTTAACGCACGGGCTTGGAGTTACTTCTCTGACGTAACTAATAAAAACGAATCGGAAGCCCGCGAAATTAAAAAGAGAAAAAAAAATATTTATTATCAGGTGACCTTTTTTATTTTTTTATTTTTTTATAATGATTTATTGGGAATTTCTAATTTTCTAACCCAATTTATTGAACTTTCTTCTCAACTGCCTCGTCCGAGAGAGTGAGAGAGAAAGTGCGAGAAAGTTTCATTCGGATTTTGAATTCGGTGAAATTTGTTGGTGGATCATAACTTCAATCACAATGTTCTAATGTTAATTTATTCTTTTCGAAATTTGAAAATTTGAAAATTGTTCTTCCTAGTGTTCGTTCTCTGTTCGCGATAATCTGAAGCCATATTTATTTGATTATCTAGTATATCGTGATTTTGAACTTTGAACTCCGAAAAGTTCATCAGGAGTAAATTAATACGGGAGTTTTGGAGTTTTTATGGTGATTGATGTCGAGCTTTGATCTCGTATTGGAAAAATGCCGGATTACGTTGCTCGTGAAGTTCCTAAGGTTCATCTTCAATCTCTGCCGTTGATCCTGTTGATTTTTCAGTTTGTTTGACCTTTTCCTTTCCGTTTTCCGAGTGGAAATTTGATTGATTTGGTTGGTTACAATGCGAAGCTATGGAGGAAAATTTGCGCAGAGACATCTATAGAGGTTTCGCTTCTTTCCAAGAACTGGAAGTTCCTTCTCGCTGGAATTATTTTTCAGGTCAATTCTACTCATCCTCGTTGAACCTTATCTCTCGTATTGTGATGAAAAAAAAAATTCATGTAAAATGTCTTTATGCTTCATTAAATCTCAGAGGCTTACGGCGTTGAGAAATGGCAAAACTTTGAATATATGATCAGAAAAGCTTTCTATTTTCTTGTTCTGAAACGAATATATATATATATATATATATATATATATATTTTCGAAGTTTCTTTAGTATTTGTAAATCGATTTAATTGTCTCTTATAGTAGGAACATTAGTAATAGTTATTAAGTACGGAAATCAAGGTGAGCTTTTTTTTTTTTTTCCGAGCTTTAGTTCTATTTGAGCAGAATCGATTTTTACAGGCTTTATATACATGCATATATGTATGTCGTTTTTCCTTGTTCTTTGCTCAATCGTGCAACAATTACCTGGTAACTTAAGTACAGTGTAAATTTAGCATGTTTGAATATGAGCTTTGTTTTCGGGCATTAATTGCATCTTGTCTTGTCACTTCTGTTCCGCGCAAATGAATATTTTGGTTCAAAGTTGAATTATTTTCTTTTTTCTTCCACCTTTGTTATGTCTATTTGTAGAAGCTAGATTAGATAGGAAGAATTTAGATGTTCATCGAGTATTTGTGTTGCTACGTGCAGTATTTACATGGCTTGGCTGCTCATGGAGTTCATTATCTGCATCGTCCTGGGCCAACACTACAGGATACCGGCTTTTTTTTCCTACCAGTGTGTACTAATTCCTGTACTCGGATTCTATAATCGTTGATGTACAATTTAGATGGCATTTTTATCAATTATTTCTTTGTTACCTTAGGAGCTCGGTCGAGATAAAGCTTATATGAGCGAGACTCTCTTCACAATCATCTTCTGTTCCTTTGTTTTGGTAAAGTTTCTCTAATTGCTTATTATAATAGTTTCTTTACATAATGATGGACTCTTCTCTGTTTTTCTTTGAAGTACTTGTAAGTTAGTGTATTTCTTGTACGTTTTCTTCAATAGCCAAAAGAGACTATTTAGAAATTAGAATATAGCAAAATTGTGAAGTCTTGAAGCTAGTACTGGTTCAAACTTTCAAGTATAACACATACATTAACTTCTCTAACTTAGTCTGTTAAGAAGTTGGTGTAGCTTAGATCTTTCTAGAATGCTACTTTGAAATTTCAGTTACTTGATCTAATATTTGCCTTCTATGTTGCAGTGGAGTTTAAATCCTTTCTTCTTCCAAAGCAAAAGAATATACACGGTCCTGATTTGGTGCAGGGTTCTTGCTTATTTAGCTGTAAGTGCCGTACAATGATCAAGACTGTAATTGTTACTTGCATTCTTGTAAGTGCAAGATAATAGTTATTTGCTCAAAACATAGAATTTTTCCAAAATCTGTTAAGAGATTACCATCAAAATATCTTAGTTCGGGTGTGGCTTTGCAGGTTACATTTTATATAATAGCCATAATTTCAGCACTTGCCAAAACATTCATTTGAACTCCATTAAATGTTTTCCGTGACTGTTTTACAACATTTTACTGGATCTTAGAAGTAGGGTCTTCTTTATGGGGCAATCAAAATATTTTTTCTTTGTTATACCGGCCTATAATGGGTTCTACTTATTTTTCTCAAAGTACAAAGGAGTTTAAGTTTTTTATTATGTCCTGTTATAATTTCTGACAATTTGTTTAGATATGTTTTGCATCATGTTAGGTTTCTCAAATTCTGCGGATCTTGACATTCTATTCTACTCAGCTTCCTGGTCCAAACTATCATTGTCGGGAGGTAATTTAACCTAAGTTTCAGTGTTCATTTTGATTTAATCTGGATTCCTTAAGTCTGGTTTCTTCTCATAATCTAGTGCTTTGATTAGAGCAATTTTTTGCAATCATACATGTCTCTTTCAGGGCTCAAAACTTGCGAGGCTGCCCCCTCCAGAGAGTGCAGTTGAAGTCCTCTTGATAAACTGTTAGTAATACATGATCTCTTTCTTTTATTCAGTACCTCATTTTCATGAAACGGATGCTTATATGATTTCCATTAATGGGCAGTTCCTCATGGGGTCATCTATGGCTGTGGTGATTTGATTTTTTCGTCACACATGATTTTTACCTTAGTATTCGTACGTACATACCAAAAATATGGAACAAAGAGGTAAATAATCGTTGGAGGTGCATTGACGCACATATGTAATAATTTTTCTTTTATTTCAATGTTTCCTGGTAGCTAGTGGGTTATGTAAGGTAATAGGCGGGAGGTTATGTATCAGGAATACTTCCTATTACTTATAGCAAGTTTTCCTGTTCTTTTCTTTCCTCACAATTTCTATTTGCCCTCTCTAGTTTTATGGCCTTTACTATATTTGACTTTGTTGCTTATCCTTGCAGATGCATTAAGCAGTGTGCTTGGGTTCTTGCCGTGGTTCAGAGCCTCCTAATTATAGCGTCTCGCAAGCACTACACTGTTGACATTGTCGTTGCTTGGTAAGAAGAGTTTCTTGTTCTCATGAAAGTTGAGTATTTTCTTTTTGCTGGTTGACGTGAGCTGTTTTGAATTCTATGCAGGTATACTGTAAATTTGGTAGCATTCTTTGTTGACAATAAACTGCCAGGTTAGCAAATTGAAATTTGAAGAAAATTTCCTATCTCTGCGAGTGGATTTTTCAGAATACTTGGTTTACACCTGCAAAAGATAAACGTAAAGTTGAGTCAGTTTCAATGGTTAAAAACAATGCAAAATTTCTTCTGGGTCCAAAACTTGTAAGCGTAGCAGCTGCAGAACATTCAATTCGCTATAACTGGTTCTTCTGTTTGTTTTCTCCAGAGTTGCCTGACCGATCTGTTGGTTCTACAACTCCATCAGTACTACCATTGAGCACAACAGATAAGGATAGTAGGAACAAAGAGGAGTTTCACAGATTCATGAATGGGAGTTCAGCTGATATTACAGTTTGAGTATGAATCATCATATCCAGTTTCACTTTCACTTCACTAGATGCTGGATAGTTTTCAGCATGTATATCGCATATTTCCCAAGCCATAGGAACAGGTGAATCGCAAGATTCAAGAATGTAGCAACATACAAAACATAGATTAACAGCCCAAGCTGAAGATAGCTTTGCTGTTATAGTCAGTATATATGCTTACTAAAGTCTGTTTAACAATGAATTGTCTCGTGTTCTGTGATGCCGATAAAACCTGATGATTTGTATATTTTAGTTAAATGGGTATGCTTTCTTTTAGGTGCTCAACCGCAATTATTACTCATTTATTTTCTAATCTCTTCACTGTATCATGAACATCACATGCCCTCTTGGCGTGGCATTTCGCTTTCACAATTCGTTCCCACACGTACAGAGTCATTTCCATCATTTTCTTTCTACAAAAAAGAGGGAGACAGAAGATCTCTATTCAACAGACATGAAGAATCAAGGAAAGAAGAGTTAGACACCAAAGCTTTAAATTCAAGCCATTCCCTTCTAGTACCAGGTTGTCATGTTTGGAGATATTCATTCATGCATGCATATCATATGGCCCACAAATTTGCTGAGATGAATCAGCCTGATGGGTTATGCTTGACGAAGAATACGGATTTCGACTAATGGTACTTTTGATGGTTCACTCTTTGTGGGGGAGTTTAGAGAAGTATGCATAAATAAACCAGTGGAGAGGCATGTGATGCCCTTCGTTAGGCAATCGGCGCTGGCGTGGTCCATGACTCCATGGGGATTCAATTTAATAATGCTTCTTGTCTGGTGTCCCACAAATGGACCACCATAAAACCTGGCTTTTTCAACACCTTTTCTCATTTTTGCATATTCTTCTCTTTCCGTAGGATGTTGAAACATGGAAGTTGGGGACAGTGTCTTTGGGACCTCACATGCCTGCCTGTGGTAATTTGTCTATACATCATCTTAAAGGGACTGTTTTGTTCCCTGTTTCCCCTTTTTTTTTGTTTTTTTTTTGTTTTTTTTTAACTTTATCTGTGGTCTACCATGATTTCTTCTCTCAGTCCTGTAAACGTCAAAGAGGTCAAACAGGGAAAAAAATCATCGTCTCGCTGTGCACTACGCTTTCCCAATAAGCCATTCGGGGAATCCCAAAAGTTGGCTTAAGCGAACAAATTTTTTAGGTCGAACTTTAGACCTCAACATTAGAAGTTGACTGTATTTGCACATAAAATCAATCGCATTTTGATCTTTATTATAATTAACGTTGAAATTGCATTTCCTCCATTATGCTATTAGCATACGGCCGTGTCTACGATTTTGATAAAGAAGACTCTCACGGTATGTTCGTTTGCACAACTCAATTCATGACGAGTTATGTGTGAGAGAAAAACACTATAGTAAAAAAATTAAATTTTAATTTTAATAATAAAAAACACTGTACTAATATGACTTGAGTTATAAAATGACTAATGCCTTAATTGTTTTTAAACTATTCCCTTTGGACCACAAAGTGAGTTCAAGCCTAATAAAGGTACAAACCTGGATAATGTTTTCCTTTTAGATGGGAAATCACTAATCAGAACACCCTTTGGTTGAAACATACTATTTTAATGGTCTAGGAACTAGCTTTTTTTTTTTTTTTTTTTTTTTTTTTTGCTTTTAAAAAAAA